GACACGGACTCATTGCCCCCCAGAATGCAAGAAAGCGTCGATAACTCCTAATCTGCCAACAGGCCCCTCACCCTGGCTCTCAGTGGCCTTCTCCCCGCTGCCCCCTCCAGGCAGCTTCAGTCTCATCGAGATGTTTAACGGCATTGCCCTCTGAGACAGAAAGGTCACTGCACAATAGTTCTGCTCCGTGGAATTGTGGGTAAACCGTCCAGGAGGGGCCCGGTTCCCCGTGTGCCGTGGCATAAGCAGCAGTTCAAACAATATGACTTCATGTCCATGCTCATTTTCTACAGCTGGTTCTTGTCCCCTGTGATGGGCCCGTCTGCTTTGTCTCCTCATCTCTCCAGGATCTGGGTTAGCGCAGGACTGGGAGGCAGAGCTCTGACTTCCGTATAACGGGGAGGCCCCCTGTGCTAGGCAGAACAGAGCCTCCTTATTTTCGGAGCACGTGCCACAGGGGAAAGGGCTAGGATTACAGCTCATGACATCCACTAGAACGTCTTGTCCCAGTGGGTGGAAGGTCTGCTTTTTAATCTATCTTGGCTGTTTAACGTTTGAACAGGATTACATGCAGAACGTTCACGGGAAAGAGATCGACCTTCTGAGAACCACTGTGAAGGTCCCCGGGAAGAGGCCCCCCCGCGCCACGTCGGCCTGCGCACCCATCTCCAGCCCCAAAACCAACGGCCTGTCCAAGGACATGAGCAGTTTACACATCTCACCCAATTCAGGTAAGCTTAACGCAGGCACGCCGGAGAAGGCGCGCGCCGGCCGCTGTCCGTGGTGCTGGCTGGGGACACGGCTGAGGCGTTGGCCATGATGCTGTAGATTGAGGTCTAGAAGCCTCATCTCCTCCACCAGAGACCCCTTCCTCTCCCCCGTGGGTTCTGTGACTGCACATGGTGGCACTTGAAGTCCCAGCTGCACAAGCCAGCCCACGAGGTTGTCCGGAGCCGGTGGTTGCTAGTGCGATTGTGCACATGATTGAGGATTTAAGGGCCTTCGTAAAAACACGAATGAATTGTTAAAGGATCAAGGCTTCGTGTTAACTAACCCATAGGGACCAAGTACGTAAAAGGAAAAAGGCCGTGTGGAGCGAGATTTGAAGGAAACCCTTGGACCCATGGAGCATTGAAATGCCCTCAGCGTTATGTCATAACTGTTGGTAATTCTTTGACACGGCATTCGTTTTCTTTACTCTCCTTTGAGGAAGTGCCTTCTCAAAGTTAGATGTGCTGAGACCTACCTGGCAATTGCAAACCATTCAAATGCCATGGTTCCTTGTTGGTTAAGAGTCTTTGCAAACGGTGGCAATGTGGCTTTGAGCTTCCACCATTATTTGTCGGAGGAAAGGTATAGGGACTGGTCAAGCCCTCCCATTGAACTCAGCGTCCTGCAACACAGGGACCTCTCTGTGTCTTTCTCCATCAAAAAGCTCCTCTCTTCCCTCCAGCTAGTCTTCCCAGAATAAACTTCTGTTCTGTGGTGGTTTCTGCATGTGTCTCTGCTTCTTAAGGACGCTGCATGTCCCTCTCTACAATGTGAAATGCTCCGAAAGACGAAAGGTGTGCTGACCCCACCGTTTGGCATAAATAGCATCGGTTGGGGAAAGCAGGATCATAAAAAGGAGCGAGAGTCTGGGGTCCATGAACCGGGGTTCTGCTGATTGATGCCAAGGGGCACGGGACAGGTAACTGTCCATGCGTCACTGCCACATCAGGCCGACCTGGTCTGGCCTCTGTGCGGTCACTGATGCGGTAGCAGGTGAGGTCACACGGAAGTTCCAAAAAACTCAGAAAGCACAATACAGACGTCACTGTTACTACTCATCAAAAGAACCAGGGCCTTCTGCTCACAGAGACCTTGGTTCATTCCAGAAGGGGGGTTGTTTTGCCTGGTCTCTGTGACCTGCTGACCCTCCTTCCAAGACATAGGTGACATTTTCCCTTCTTCAGGATGGTGTGCTCACTCTATGGGGTAAGAAGAGGGGAAAGACATGCTGAGAAAACACTTTGTCTGTGCTGTCTTTGTTACTTTGTGTTTATTTAAAAACTAGAGGCCCGGTGCACAAAAATTTGTGCACTCGGGGGGAGGGGGGGCCCCTCAGCCCAGCCTGTGCCCTCTCGCCGTCTGGGACCCCTCGGGAGATAACGACCTGCTGCCTGAGGCCTGCTCCCGGGTGGCAGAGGGCAGGCCCAAGCCCTAGGTGCAGCCCCTGGTCGGGCTCAGAGCAGGGCCGATTGGGGAGTTGGGGCACCGCCCCGTCAGGCACAGAGCAGGGTGGATTGGGAGGTTGTGATGCCACCCTCAGTCATGCTCAGGGTAGGGCCAATTGGGGGGTTGGGGCACCGTTCCTTGTCACACTCAAGGCAGGGTCGATGGGGAGGTTGCAGCGCCACCCCCGTCATGCACAGAGCAGGGCCAATCAGGGGGTTGGGGCACTGCCCCCTGTCACTCACAGAGCAGGGCCCGTGGGGGGGGCGGTTGGGGAGCTCCCCCCTATCAGGCACAGAGCAGGGCTGATCAGGGGGTTGGGGCACCTTCCCCTGTCACGAACAGAGCAGGATGGATAGGGAGGTTGTGGCCCCACCCCCTGTCACACACAGAGCTGCAGGGCGATCAGGGGGTTTGGGCACTGCCCCCTGTCACGTTGATCCCGGTGCCGGGAGGCCTCATGGCTCTGCTGATCCCGGTGCCGGGAGGCATATTACCCTTTTACTATATAGGGTAGAGGCCTGGTGCATGGGTGGGGCTGGCTGGTTTGCCCTGAAGGGTGTCCTGGATCAGGGTGGGGGTCCCCACTGGGGTGCCTGGCCAGTCTGGGTGAGGAGCTGAGGGCTGTTTTCAGGCTGGGGGTGACTGAAGTTCCCACTGCTCCTTTTTTTCTTTTCTTTTTTTTTTTATTCTGGGCCAGCTTTAGCTTTGAGGCTTGGTTCCAGCTCTTAGGCCTCCCAGGCTAAAAGTAGGTTTCTGGCCTTTGCTTACAGTGTTGCGAATCTGCTGGCTGAAGTCCGGTGGTATTTGTTAAAATGTTTCAAACTGCAGGCTCAGAGGCCTGCAGTGGCAGGAGGGGAACGTTGGAGGCCGCCATCACTGAAGCAAGCAAGCCTCATGTTAGTTTCAAGCTGCCTGGCTGCCGGCCACCATCTTGGCTGACAGTTAATTTGCATATCTCGCTGATTAGCCAATGAAAAGCATAGCGGTCGTGCCAATTACCATGTTTCTCTTTTATTAGTGTAGATATTTATTGAGCACATGGGGTGTGCCAGGAATTGGATGTGCTGTGGGAAATGAGTCCTTGAGCCCTAGAATGAGGATTAGTCACCTCATAACCAGCTGGTTTTCCTTCTCCTTCTCACCCATCTTGTCGCACCTGTCCAGATGGGTTATTCAAGTCAAGAAACATTGATAGAATTTTTAATGCTAAGCACAATCCAGGACTCCAAGACACAGGAGAAGAGGTAAGCCCTGCCCTCAAGAATGGCACCCTTTGGTGGGGGAGAGACAGGTAGACAGGTAAATATAGCAGCTCACGGCGGGGGTGCACCCAGGGAGGGAGACCCAGTGATGGGGTGTGTGAGCAGGGCTGTGCTGGGAGTGAAGCGGGGGCGGGACTCCGCCAGGCTCCCTGGATGCAGTGTTGCTTGCATGAGATTTGGAGTCTGAACTTCTTTATCTTCAGATATATGATCAGCTGCCGCTTGCATATGGCAAGTGTAATGTTGGGTAACAAATAGAAAATCCAAAATGCCGCGTAACCTTTATCCTATCCCGTGGAGTCAGGTATGTCATAGCCTCTGCTGAGGGAGGGAGTGTGGGTCCTCCTAAGGCCAGTGTTTCAGAGCCCAGTTCACTCTCTTTAAGACTCTTGCTGTGGACAAATGGGGGTTTGGGGGCACAGTTGAAATCCCTTTGCCATGGCTGCACCCTCAGTTTATTACTACTCATCCTTTCTTAAAACTATATATTTTTGTTGATTTCAGAGAGACAGGGAGAGGTTGAGAGAAATGGAAACATCAGTGATGAGAGAGAATCATTGATGGGCTGCCTCCTGCATGCCCCTTACTGGGGATCGAGCCCGCAACCCCGGCATGTGCCCTTGACTAGAGTTGATCCCAGGACCCTTCAGTCCGCAGACCAACCCTCTATCCACTGAGCCAAACCAGCTGACCCTGAGCCAGGTTAATCCCCACGCAGGAAGCCTGGCCGATATCCCTCTTATTTGGCTCACAGGCAGGGACGTGGAAGTGGGGGTGGGACATCTGCAGGAGCAGGTACGGCTTCAGGGGAGAAAGTGCCACACAGTCATTCGTGGCAGTGAGAGATGTGGCTCATTCCTCTTAAGCATGCAGGTGACGCCATCGGCTCGTGTCCAGGAAGAGTGAGTGACCCTTCATTCTATTGTTCAGAGGGTGTGCTCTCACGTGAAAAATCCCAACACAGCAAATTTAATTAGAAGTAAATTGATGCTATTTTTATGGTAAGGGATGGACTCTTAGCTAAAAATAGGCATTAATTATTTTTGTTATTTGAGAGCTATTTGCCACAGAACTGGCATGGTATTTCCCCTTATCCTCACTCTCCACTCATTTGAGTTCTGCTGTTCTGTTTTAGAACTCTGAGTTAACTAGAAGTTTGCTTTCTTTTTTTTATTATTCATTTTTTTAATCTCAGTGTTATTGAATTAGATCAGTGTTGTGTACCTTTCTTTCCAGTAACTTTTCCATTCACATAGACCCAACACATGCATGTACCTAAATCTTTGTGCATAACACTTATTATTGTCTTAAAAGTCCATGTGTGGCTCTGGCCAGTTGCTCAGTGGTTAGAGCATAGGCCCGTACACCAGAGGGTCATGGGTTTGATTACTGGTCAAATGCATGTACCTGGGTTGCAAGTCCCATCCCCACCCTGGGTCAGGGCATGTCTGGAAGGCAACCGGTCAATGAGTCTCTCTCACATCCATGACATCAGAAAGATTACCAAGAGAAAATAACCAAATGTTATGC